GTGTTTGCCCACCGGAGTGGAACATCACCAGATCGAACCTGTGCTATTCGCTTGCAAGCAAAGGCCACTGACTTAGCTCAGAGTAACTCCAAGTGCAGCAGCCTTAAAGGAACATCAATCAAGGAAGTTATGCTCCTATTGCATAAAAGATCCCTAAATGTATTTTTGTTTGCGTTGAAACGATTCCTTGATCCAAAACATACCCTCATCTTATATCATGGTGCACTTGCAATGGCCTATTCTCACCGCCAAGAGACTTGCATCGCTTTGGAAGAAGGAATTGACACATGAGGAAGAGACACATGGTGGTACCGCTCCTTGCCCAAAAGCGTGTCTCATTGACTTACTCCTTTACCTCTGTAGGTACATTTGTAGTTGTCAAACGTCTTGCATGCCTTCCAGGAGGAGAAGGCTGCTGCCGCTCCTTTGCCCCTTTCGGTCCACTAGTCTTCTCAGCAGCGGGGGTCTTCTTTGCAAAGACAAGAACCAGCCACGTGTTGTGTTCGGGTTGCTGGAGAGCCATTTGTGGATTTGTGTAACTGCAACTGCTGAGGATCATAGAGGGCAGGCTGCAGTAGCCGAGTCTCCTTTCCCTCACTCCATGCCAGGGCACAAAGCACACAAAGGCAAGAAGAAGTGAACGTGTGCTGCATCCACAGTTAGGTGGGAGCCATTGGGAGCCGAGGTTCCTGCATGGCACACTTGAAAGCCACAGAGCCTTTTCCTTGCAAGGTGTTCTTGGTTGAGCAAAAGCACTAACTGGCCAGAAGGAATTGCTGAGCATGCACAGAGTGGTTTCCTGAACCCTGTCCACCTCCAGGAACTCTCCTTCTGAGCATGCCTGGGCCCCATCCCTTTGGGAGGGGCCATCTGAAAACAACCACAGCTCCTCTCTGCATTCTGATCATCTAATTGCGCTGCCCCACTTTACTGATGCCACGGCAGGGGTCAAGATCCTGGGCTGCCTCATCTGTCTCTGAGAAGCTCCCCTGCTCCCAGTCCTCTCCTGCCAACTACACATCCTGGTTATTCCCAGGGACTGCCTGCCCACCTGGGGAGTTTGGGCTTGAGGTAAGTATCTCTGCTTGGCTCATCTCAGTGTCTCAGGATGCCCCCCCCCTTTTGCATCCCACCTGCCAGTCCCATTCTCCTCCTGATTCCGATTCCTCTGAAGCCCAGCCAGAAGCCCTTGAGAACATGCTCGCAAGCCAGCCCTCTTTCTCACTCCCAGCAGAAGCGAGGTCTAATGAGTTCAGTGGGACTGGATTTCCAATCAGTCCCTTACTGGACCAGGTGGAACACTTGTGCGCGCACAGACCTCTAGTGAACACAGAGTGCCGCATCCTGCAGCACCACCGGGCCGTTCATGGTGGTCTTTCACACAATCAGAGGAAATCTGTTCCTCTCTCTTTGTCATAACTGGTTAAAGAACCCAACCTTACGCTTAAAACAAACACCACCCTGAGTGGTCACAAATATAAATAAGGGTGTAAAAGAAATCACAGAAGGACCTTCCCATAGAAAATACTCTTCCCTATAGGAAATAGAGCATGGTTTGAAATCAATGAATTATTATACAGATTATACAGAAAGCATCAGTGCAAGAGTACATGTTTAACTGATGAAGGACCAAGACAGGGCTGCTGGCCCAACCCACACACTTTTGCTCACTGCTTCCTCTGCTGATTACAATGAAGGATGAAGACCTGCATGCTTCCTCTTCTGCGGAACAGGTGGCGGGCCTTTCTCCTAAGATCGCAAGTTCTGCACTTGGGAACGATGGCTGAACGAGGGCTTTGCCTCTACACATATGCTCACTTAATATTTGTAGTATTGAAAGTATAGGAAGGTGTTTTAGTGAACACATGACTGTGGTCATTCATACGTGATAAAGCAACACATTCGATTATGTGAGCATCTTGGGTTTTTCACTTACACCCCTCACTTCATAATCAAGTATCCTATTGTCATGAGCACATTTCTCCCCTTTTTCCTTTCCAGCAAATCTAAATGGAAGGCTTTTAAAGTACTGGCCTTTATTTGAGCTAGACAGATTTTTTTTTTTAAATGATAACGTGCTGTTTCATATGAAGGTTGTTCTAAAATAGCATCAATCCAAGTTACATTCCTTCCAGTTTGTAGGAGCACCTCTTGCTCATGAGAAGAGTTGATTCCAAACTGCAGATTCCCTCCTTTCCTCGTTTCCCAAAAGGCTTGGCTCCACCCTCAGGGAGGTTCATGCTGCAGGAAATGCATTACTGAATTGGACCACTTGGCTAATGAATTCATCCCTCCTTGTCAGACCCTCCCTGTTCTACACTGCCTTCCCACAAATGCAAGGCAGTTTGGTTTTCGACAACTGTCTGACAAATCCTAATAGTTAAACTTGACATTTCTGCGTCACATTCCAACCCCACTCTTTTATTGTCTAGTTCACATTCCAGGACTGAGCTTTCTAACTGAGAATGTTGTTTTTTGAGAGAAATGGGCCCCAGGATTAATTAGTAGTACTACAACAATTATTACTAAATTAGAAAGTCACAATTATCAGTAAGATAATATGCTATTTGTGTACATATGCTTAGAAAGGTGTATACTGAAAACAATTTGTGTACATTTGAAAAACAGGCTATATTTTTTTTCCAAAGAATATCCAGGTACTTGATGCAAAGAAGAGTACATGGCATACATCCCCCCCCCCCCCGAAACTTACATAAGCAATGGTTTTCTGGCACAAAAATGTAGGCTTTTAATAATTCTTGGCTCCTATATCCTACTGTGAAATATGCCAGCAAATGAATCTGGAGTGACAGATAAACTACTTTGCATACAAATTCTCAAAGAACTTTAAACAGAGAGAAACAGAGCCAAAAGTTCAAGTGACTTTAAAAAACATCCAAGCAGACTAGCAACACAAACACAGAGACAAAAACCCTTCTGATATGCTTGCCACGTGGTTACCACATTAGATATGTGCAGAAGGCAAATTCTCAACAAATGTCCATTTTGTTTCATTACTTCCAAGTTAATTATTTTGCAAAACAAATATATTTCTTAAAATAACTTTGGCTGGATCATGTCCAGAGTAGATAAAAAGCTGCTATAGAAACCATGGCCCCACTGACTTCAATGGAAAAGAGTCAATCATTTGATTAACTTCCCCTAGAGAAATCAATGGCATTAAAAATATGCTTCAACGTTAGTCCAACCAGTTTTCCAAACACACCAGCAATGACCGAGATGTCCATCCAGTCTTCAGAGTCACTCAACCAATCTGTATAGGAAACATTTATTTCCTCATTTTTCTACAGCATCAAGTACAGGGCGACCTATGCACTGCAATTCCCATATGCAGCATTTTCACACCAGAGGAAATAGGGAAAGCCCTCCTATGTATACATAAGGAAACACCCTAGACCTCATGTAAAACCCAATTTTCTTTCATAAAAGCCACAGGCAAGAACCAGGCAATGCAAAAGTACTAAAGGAGAATTAGGAAATGCAATAAAGCTGGAAGAAAAAGGAAACATCTACAGAGGCAGTAAGTTTCTTTAGCATTAACTGCTAACACAGCAATAACCCCTTCAATTTTAAATTGTACTTAATGTGTAATCCTATCCACTTTTAGGCAGAATAAAGTTGTGTCCCAGTGCTTCCCAGCCAACCATACCGACTGGGGAATGCTGGGAATTGTAGTTCTGTTCTACTTCCTTTTCTTTGGCATTTACCAGGTCAGTGGCACATGCTAAAGAAACGAAGCTACCACTTGGCTCAGGGGTTCAGGTCAGACATAAGCAGTTGCTTGTCAAGCGAGCTCACCCTAGTAAAACCCCCCACCTTTTCCTTGCTGGAAAGTCTGGTGTGACTTAAGGAGGGTGAAAACAAGGAGGAGGATGCAGCATTTAGTATGAGAGACAACAAATGCCGTCCAGGGCTCTTTTAGAGGAAGTTGGTTGACAACAGCTTGCTTTATCCGTGTGTTTATACCTGTTGTCGAAAATGTCCTGGAAGAGGGTGTGTGAATCGGAAAGTGAAGGTATGGGAGATGCCTCATTGCATCTGCCTGGGAAACAGCTCATGATGTAGCGAAGTGAGTAGCTACAAGTAGCCCTGCCTATAGAATGCGCTCCCCAGAGAGGTCCGCCAGGCGCCATCGTTATTTGTTTTTCGGCGCCAGGCGAAGACCTTTTTATTTAAAACTTATTTTAATTGTTAACTTATTATGTATTTATAGGATTTTAAATTTTTAAGCCGAGATGTTGCCAGGCTTTTTAATTTTTAATTGTATTAATTGTTATTTATATGTTTTCATTATGCTGTGAGCCGCCCCGAGGCTTTGTTGCGATGGGGGCGGCATAGAAATGTTTTAAATAAAATAAAAAATAAATAAAAAGATAGCAAGGGGAACAGACAATGAATGCAGCTATTGAGACAGTCGCTGCTGCTCTGTAGTGTCTGGAAGCCTGCAGAGTCATTCAAATCATCTAATACTCTCATTTTGTTAAACCAAGGGAATCAGCAGCATTCAGCACATGAATTCCAGTCCCAAATCAAGTAACACAGAAAAAGCAACTCAAGATCTTATTAGTCCACACAAAGTAAAGCAAATTTCTATCCTTTCCCCTTTTTTCACCTGATGCGTCCCAACCCAAACATATAGTATAAGAAAATAAAATGGATACCTGAACTGAAAGCCCTATTCCAACTCTTAAGGTCGGCAAGCAAATAAATAGAAGCAGCAAAGGGGGCACAATTCCAGGTCCACCATGTCTAAGACTCATTTTGCCTTTTTTCAAGGCAAGCAAGAAAAACGAAAAATTTAACCAATCACGTAACAATACAACATAGACTTCAATGGAAAGCAGTCAATCATTTCTATGGAATAAAGATATCTTTTTAAAATGTGCTTTCTGCATTAATTACACGGGAAACAATGGGTGGAACTCCTGAGGACTACATAAAGCATCTCCATTCAGGTGGAATTGACTGAAGTGGCTTACTTGTTCCTTGACCGATGCCAGAATGGCCGAGGTGGTCTCCGTCTCAGATCCATCTCCGTTGGAGGTATTCAGTACGGGGCTAAGGGAACTTGTCTTGTCAGAGGACGAAGGCTGGTCCGGCACAGGCATAGCTCCTATGATTGTGAAACAAGGGATAATTATGTATCTGGGCTTTTCTTCAAGAATCCGAACTACACAGAAATAGCTGACCCAGTTTCTAAGAAAGGAATGTTCTGAGCCTTGCAGAACAGATTTGCTTCTTTTCCGAATGGCGGGCAGGCAATGTTTCTTTGAAGGGTCTTTCCCTGTCTTTCCCATTCCCCACACCAGCTTTTTATATGCTCTTGGGAAATGGTCAGCTCCAACGCCCTTTTGCAACACTTGCAAATGTCAGTGGTGACCAGAATCCCATTCATTGCACCTAAGGGATTTTCAGGCCCCATGGTTTAAAAAAAAAATGAAGACCCAATACATACATACATAGATACATACATACATACATACATACATATGATAACTTCTGTTACCAAACCTCTTTGCTATTTCTTTATTATATTTATATTCAAGAACTCTGGGTAGCATAAAGCCAGGATATCCCATTTAAGCTTTACAATCTTGTAACGTAGGTAAGACTGAGAAACAAAGGCTGGCACAAGATCCTGGCTGAGCCAGGATTTGGGAACTCATGCCCTCTTGCAGCAAGTCTGATATTTTACCTGATACACCATTCTACCTCAAGCAACAGGCTGTTCAAGGAAGACTGACATTCAAGATCTCTGAGTTGTGCAGCTGTTGTGCAACTGCTTGGATCCTAGTCCTACATGTTTGCTTGCATGATGAATTTAAAGTGTTGTAAATGACCTAAGAAACACTGAGAGCTAGTGGGGTACAGTGGTCAAGAGCGCAGAATTGAGACTCGGTCAATCCGGGTTCTAGTCCCCACTCAGCCATGGAGCCAACTGGGTGACTTTGGGCCAATCTCAGACTCTCAGCCCAACCTACCTCACAGGGTTGCTGTTGTGGGGATAAGATGGAGGAGGAGAGTGATGTAAGCTGCCTTGAGCCCTTTGTAGGAAAAAGGCAGGATATAAATATAATGCATGAAAATTAAAAAAAAAAGCCAAATAAAATGGAGACACATAGAAGAATACCCCTATAAGTGATGTGTATGAATATATACAACATTCAGTACTTCAAAAGAAATCTGAAACCATAATAATAATTTTCAGTCTATACCAATCTTCCAAATACTGATTTGCCCACTTGCTCATCTTGCCTTCATCCTTTCGTCCACCTTGTCCCTCTGCCATTAAGCTGCACTTTCTGTTCTATCCTGAGATGGCTCCTATTTTTATTTTACTTGGGGCTAAGTCCTATGAACTGCACCTTTTACATGCACCAGATTCAAAGACTTCTGTTCCCCCTCTGCATGGTGGAGCAATAGAAAACCTACCTTAGTTGGGCATCATGTCCTCCTGCCCTGAATTTCTTGCTAGACAGAATTTTTGCTTGCCTAATTGGGACACTGCTGGACAATGGAAAGAGAGTAGAGAAGGGCTCACGATAAGTCATCTCTTGGCCTCTCCACCCTTCCCCACCCAGCTGTTATGGCATTTCTGTGCCAGCTGTGCGGGGACGGGTCAGATTTCTAACTTGCTGTTCCCAGGTTGGATCTGTATTTGCTCGACCTTGGAGAGGGGAGTCTGAATAAGCCGACAGCTACTGAGACACTTTTTAGGGGCCATAGGATTGCTCCCATATTTAAGGAATTCACAAAGCACTCTAAGGTGTAGAGTTTCTCAGGTACAAATCTGCCATCCAATCCTATGCGTATCCACTACAGGTGGAGTCCCATTGAGTTTAATGGGATGTGCTCCCAGGTAACTGTGCATAGGACTGGGAAAGACAGAATGAACAAATGGACTTGCTCATGGGGATTTTTACAACGCTTTAGAACTGTTTTGCTTCATGACAAAGGAGATAAAGGAATAGACTGATAATGTTAACATTCCCAGAAGGATAAAAAGATGCTTCTACTATCACCTCCCCAGCTTTCTCTCAAGCATACTAATGTTCTCAATGAAATTTACAACTGCGTATTGTCTTTGATTTCTGATTTGAATAATAGGTATGAAACAGATATTTAGCTCATCTTTACAATGACTACATGATATCAAGAACTTTTACAAGTAGAGTTTTACTTCTGTAATTTAGCTGAGTGAAGCAACAGAGCCAGGGTCAGAAGTTAAGCGTCAAAGGAAAAACAAATAAAGATCCCAAATGAGAAATCAAGTGGACTTTCACTTCTTGTTAGGAATGCTCCCATTCCACTGCCTGCAAATGTCAGCCCCGTGAAACTGTTCAGAGAGGCCACGCAGAGATTTGGAGTGGGGAGTCATTAATCTTCTGGTTATAACAACATTATTCCTTTCATCTAGTCTGGGTGTAGCATACTGAACAGCAGTTTGAAGGTAACTATGTGTGAGGGCTAATAAACAAACTCAATTCAGAGAGGATGGGCATCCTGTTAGAAGATGCCTTAGTGGCCCTCGGAAGGGGCATTCTGTCTGTGCTGATATGGGGTTCCACCATGCTCCCCATTAAAGACCAGATTCATATGTTGAGGCTATTTTAACTCCAAATCTGTTCATGATTGCTCAAGCTGAGGAGCACTTCCTCAACTTGGGTCCCTTGCCAGTTGCATGTTCTGCAGTTTGTGCTTCCCCTGCTTTTTCGTGATGTTGTATGGCCTTGGAAAACCAGCTGGTAGAAAGATGAGGTGGAGATGCAGCTAGGTTAAAATAAATGTTTCTATTGTCGTAGAAAATGAATGGCTCATGTGCTTTCTGGCATTTACACGTCTCTTACTGTGCTACGCCAAACGGCCCGACTGCGTGATGAGTGGAGGCCGGGGCATATTCAGGGAACTGGCAGGGGAAACGTCTGCACACTCCCTGTCAGCTTTTGTGCCAGATGTCCAGAATGCATATGCTTTCTGTAGGAAAGAAACATGTCCAGAACAGGAAGCTAACGATGAGCAAGAGCCAAACTGGTATGTCTGCGATCACAATAAGCACATCGTACATTCTGAATGAAGTAGCAAATGCAGTGACTCCATATCCTATTTCCTGAGGGGCAGAATTCCCAACAGGACGTTTTTGGAAGTCATCAACCGATTTTAGGTCACACTTGCAACTGCTCATGTGACTAGTACAGGTAGGCAGCAGGTTGTCACATCTGCAGATTTATTGATCTGGAGCACTTTTACCCTGCATTCAACAAACAAGCGGGGTCTAAGAAGAGCTTACAAAGTTCAGGCATTAAACTGTCTGTGATTTCAGGTCATGCAACTCAAAAGAAGAAAAGAGAGGAGGGGAAAATGGAATGGGTATTATTTTTAGTTAGAAAGAACACAAGGGAAGTCCTGCTGGATCAGACCGAAGGGCCATCCAGTCCAGCACCCCATACACATGGTGGAAAACTAGCTGCCCAGGGGATCCCTCAAGCAGGATGGCTGCAAGCCCTCCTCCTGCCCAAGCTCCTCAGCACCTGGTGGATGCAGGCAGGCCACCTTTGGGAAGCAGGTGGCACACAGCCAGCAAGGTTAGCAGCCATGGATAGCCTCCTACTTCATGCAACTGCCCAGCCCCCTTTTATTTATTTTATTTATTTAAAACATTTTTATGCTGCCACCATCGCAACGAAGCCTCGGGGTGGCTCACAACAGAAACAAAATACATAAATAAATAACAATATAACAATAAAACATTTATTTAAAAACCTCCGGTGCATCTCGGCTAGAAATTTAAAATCCTATAAATACAAATATTTTTATAATTAAAATAAGTTTTAAATAAAAAGGTCTTAGCCTGGCGCTGAAAAACAAATAACGACGGCACCAGACGGACCTCTCTGGGGAGCGCATTCCATAGATGGGGTGCCACCGCAGAGAAAGCCCTCCTCTGGGCACTCACCCTCCTAATATCATTCACAGAGGGTTCCCGGAGAAGGGCATCCGTTGCTGATCTCAAGGGGCTGGAGGGCATATATGGGCGCAAGCGTTCCTTTAGATATCCAGGTCCCAAGCCGTTTAGGGCTTTATAGGTCATAACCAACATCGTGAATTGGGCCCGGACTTCAATCGGGAGCCAGTGGAGCTGACGGAGAACTGGGGTTATATGAGAACAACGCCCAGTCCCCATCAGCAACCTGGCAGCTCTATTCTGCACCAACTGAAGTATCCGGACCGTCTTCAAGGGTAGCCCCACGTAGAGCGTGTTACAGAAATCTAATTAAAGCCATCCAGATTGGTGGCCATCATCATTTCTGGGTCAGCGAATTCCATAGTTTAACTATATACTATGTGAAGAGATGCTTCCTTCAATCTGTCCTAAACCTCCCATCAAATAGCTTCACAGGATGACCCCGGGTTCGAGTGTCATGGGAGAGGGAGTCTCCCACTCTGCTTTCTCATCACCCTGAACACTAGTTTGAGAGCATGATCATTCTTACTCATCATCAGCATCTCTGGTGACTCACAGAAATTCAGGTTGGCAATTCTAAAAGCATTTTAAACTCAGAAAAATAGAGATTCTGCCATATGGGAGCTGTCCTCAAAATCTAAGGTGAGATTAGAAACAGGTTGATCCAGTCACAATACCATCAAGTTCTTTTTCCATATGTTTAAAATTAGATGAGAATTCAAAATTTAGGAGAAACTTTTGATACATTAGAAGGGCACAGAAATATTTCTAGATTACCCCTTTGAGCGGATGCATGTTTATGTCAACTTTATATAATTTTTATCAATTTAGAGGACAATCCTATTGAATGCTTTCTTGCAGATTAGAAATCAAGAGCACATTACCTCTTTTTCCCTTCCAGCAGATCATGATGGGAGGCTCATAAAATACAGTCTTTAACAAAATTTGTTGCAATGTTTTCTAGGGGAGTTGGTAGCAAGTAGCCTATAGCAAAGTAGCAATCCCTCCATTCTATGGGAGAAGCTTCTACCTATGTGAAGGATTGATTCCAAACTGAAGTGGCAGCTTCTCTCTCTGTCCTGCCGGGGTTTTGACTTCACCCTCAGGGCAATTCAGGCTTCTTGTGGGTCGAATGGACGGCATTAC